AGGAGAACCTCCCCATTACAGCAGGGAAGTGGCTCACCCAAGATCACACAGTTGGTAACAGGTGGATCTTGTCTTTGAACCTCAGTCTCCTGAGTTCACTACCTCAGCTGAATTTAGGAAAGAACAGCCTTATTTTGTGGTGCCACACTGGCGAGGCCCAGGGCCTGAGACTGCAACAGTGGGGTTATGCGTACCAGTTAGGTCACCTGTACCTTTATGTATGGGTGCTTTTAGGGACCAGTGGGGTGGGGGAGGTAATTGGATGCTGACTACACAGCCCCAAACCACCGTGATTTTTTTATTTCTTAGGTCTGTTTTAGACTCTTTTCTGCTCCTCCTGCATTATCTGACTGTCAGCTGGCATTATTTTGCTAGTCATGGTGCCTCTAGAGCAGCAGTTCTCAACAGGTGGGTGGTGGACCAGCAGCATCAGCTTCACTGGGAACTGGCTAGAAATTCAGATTCTCAGGCTCCACCTCAGATCCCCTGAACCGGAAATGGTGCTAAAACAACAATTCTCAGCCTTGGCTGCACATTGGAATCACCTGGGGGCTTTAAAAAGTGTGAGGCCTTTGTCCCAACACCAAAGATTCCAATCTAATTGGTCTACAGCATGGTTTTCAACCTCAGCATTATTGACATTTTGGGCTGGATAATTATTTGTTGGCCTTTCCTAAGCATTGCAGAATGTTTAGCAGCATCACTGGCCTCTACCCAATGGATGCTGGTAGCCTCCCTCCTCCCCACCTCCAGCTGTAATAACCAAAAATGTCTCCAGATATTACCAAATGTCCCTTGAGTACAAAGATGAGAATCACTAATCTAGGTGCATGACCCAGGCACTGGGATTGGAAATGCTCCCTAAACCATTCTAATGTACAGCCAAGACTGAGAACTACCAGTCTGGAAGGTTCCTATTAATTAGAAGCTTTGAATGTGCAATGGACTAAAGAACAACAAAAGCTAAGCTTTATAGCATGGGGCGTAAGGTGAGACTAAATCAGCCTGCCGTGAAGACTCGGCCAGTCTGCCCATCAGTAACGTACACAAGCTTAGACTGTAAACTTTGCATGAACCAGTGGCTCCGTATATTCCTGCGTACTTTCCGGTTGTTGGGTGTGTTCCAAAAAACGGCCATAAACAGGTACATTTGCACTTATCTAAAAGCTCCCAAACAAGTAGATATTGCCTTGCACTAAACATAGCAGAGGACATCCTGCTTTTGGGGACAGTCGTTCTAAAAACAGGGCGCTTATCAGTGCACCATGTGGTTCAAGTCCTTAGGCAAATCTGTTTTGACAGGTTAAAAAAATGTAGCCTGTCCATTTTCTGATGGTGATTTTGACACAATCCAAATCAGCCACACCAAACAGGACTTCTATGTTAATTCGTACCATTCAGCAACATTTTAGTTTCCAGATAATGATCGGGAATGTAATTATATTTCAACTGTAGAAAAATCCCCTACGTAAGAACCAAGGCAAGTGTCCTTCAGTGAAATCCGCACTGCACAGGTCACCCTCCGCTGCCTCGGTGGTTGCTCCTGGGTGTTCTGTGGGGATCCCCTGGGGGGCAGAAGGGCAGGGAGTGCATTTAGGTCACGGATGTGCTTCATCTCCCAGCACCCGCTGTGCGGCTCTTCCGGGCTGAGCAGCCCCATCACAGCCCACAGTCTCCAAGAAAAGAGCTTGTGCCACGTACTTGTCAACCTGGGTCTTAATCAGAACAGTATTCTCTCCCACTTTCTCAAGTAACTAGTTGGTAGGTACATTGCTTCTTTCAACAGGAAGAGTAGAAATACTACTTTTGAGATACTAAGAAATAACTTTTAAACAGAAAGCATGTTGCAAGATGAATGTATTTTCAGGGCAAAATTGGTTCTTTCTAATTTGAAAATATGAATATGTTGTCCCAAGTCAATGAGTTGGAATCATTAATTCATTCAACACCTACAATGTACTAGGTAGTGTATAATGTGATTGGAAATTACAAATATGAAGGCTGTGTAAGAATGCAGACCCTTTTATGGCCAAAATAAGCTATGATTGCTCCAAGACGCCAGACTAACCCCGTAAACTAGTTGGTAAAACTTGTTCACATTAATGAAACCAACTAGTTCTTTTGCCGTAGTCTAATTTATCCTAAGCAGTTACTTATCTTTTTCTATCCCAGCCTAAATTGTTTCATCAATGTGCTTTTAAAAACCAAAACCTTTTCATTAGGCTTCCCAGAAAAGTACTTGAGGAAAATAATGTGTGGAATACTGGTAATAGGTATTATTTTCCATATGGTTCCACTTGTTTTTACAAAAGCCATATGCTTTTATGCTTATGGGGAGTTTCTGGAAGAAAACACAATTCACAATTAACAGTGGTTGCCTTTGGGCAGGAAGTTTAGGGGCCTTGGTCAGAGGGGAGACTTGCTCTTCCTAATGCTCTTATAAAGCTTATTTTCACCATTTTAAAGTTTGCAATTTCCATTTCAAATGCTAGGGTATAAAAGAAAAGATACATTCCCAGTGGTCTTTCGGAAGCTCCAAATGCCTCTGCTAATGAGAGAAAAATGGGTGAGCTACACTGCATGCCTCTTGGAGGGCCCCTTCCGTTTACATATATTTTATTGCTACAGCAGAGTGAGCAGAAAGGAGACTTTAAACGGATGATTACTCCAACGTGGGCTCCAAGAACAGATGAACGAGCAGGTCCTACCTGATCTGAGGCTGGGTAGTTAAGGGGGGCCTCTTTGAAGAAGCCACATTTAACCAGAAACGACAGAGGCTGCCTCCTGGCAGGGGCCTGCTCTCCCCCCGCTGCACTGGAGCGGTTACTCGCCGTAGCTCTTTCAGAAAGAAGCAGACATAGGCTAGAGAAGTCTACACACACTGTGATTGTACCTACGAATTTCCTCCAATGATTTCTTTCACTCCCCTTCGTCCATACTTTCCAAAAAGAATCCATGCTCACCCCTGGGTGGGGAGGAGAGGGGTGCTGAAAATAACAACACACCTATTTATGTGAAGACAGCCAATTCTGTGATCTTTTGGTGCCCACCAATACCGTGATATCTTCCCCTTCAGTCCTTCCCTTACACCTAACCCCAGTTAAGTCTATGCAAGCATGAAAGAGGGGAAAAAACCCACAGAGACTGGAAGGGCCCCAGACGATGCATGCTCAGTTGTGGGATTTTCTGGATCATTTTTCTTAGTCCTTGTCACTTGGACCTTCACAGGACTTCAGAGTCCCCCTTGTAAAGCAAGACGTACCCTTTTCTTTCCTCTCTTTGCTGGGTGTTTGGTTGGGAAATCCACCCCGGTGGGCTTCAGGATCCTCTGCCTCTGGGAATGAGCCAACGACAACACAACAGTTCAGCCTTTCCAGACCATACCCTGAAACAACCACGCACACTTTAATTACATCTCCGCGGTCTTTAATGGAGAGTTGCAGTTCTGGGGTAACATACTCCACTCTCCTTCTATGTATGAAAAGTAGTTTTCAAGTTCTCTTTTCTTTATAGGGGGTGATTCATCCTAGAAATAGTGTTTTACGTCTTTACTTGCATCAGGCATTAATAACCAGCAATCAGTGATGGTAATAACTGTTTGTTAGCTTCATGAAAGCTGTCAGAGTTTATGGCAGTGTTTTTGTGAAGAGCATACCAGTTGTTCTCAGACAAAAGTTTGTGTGGAAATTCTGAGAACTCACCCACCAAGGCTAGTTAGAGTAAGAGGAAGAAGAAACCAGGGGCAAGACTGGATTGAAGGCAAAAGTTCTTTTAGAAAACTACCCAGAAGAAAAGGAAATACGTTAGAAAACTAAAAATTTCTGAAATAAAGTCATATAGGGTTTTAGCCATAAAAATAGAATTTGAGAGAACCCTGTGTTACTAAATTCTCAACATGCAGAGGTTCTGATTTTCTGTCTAAGGGGTACTTGTTTCCCACCCTCTTTTAATGGACTCGTGTAAATGACCACATTGAGCATGAAAGTAAACCTCGTGTAATGTTTTAGAAGTTGTAGAACAGAAATTTGAAGCTCAGCTTAAAGCTACTATGGCAATAGGTATTTTGCAGGAAAAGACAAATTTGTCTAGTGAGTAGGATAGTGTTTCCTAGTGAGTGGATAAGTTTAAATTATGAATCACTAAGCAAAAATTAGAAAAGAAGTCAATGCCATCTTTACTCTTGAAAAGGCATCATGTATTCAGCAGGGACTTCCTTTCCCCTCTCAATTTTTCTGCTCCTAGTACAATACCAAATTAGATGAATATCAGCAACTCACCGGACTTCATGTTCTTGCTATTTAACCATGACCACTAGAGGGTGTCCAACCTTTCCCACGGACAAAGAGGTTACATTGTCCACAAGAAAAAATAGACTTTCCTCAAATGCTACAGATTACAGGACCCATGTTTTAGGCAAGTTTGAGCCTAAACAGAGAAAGGCCACTTATGACACACCTACCGAAGCAGCTGGCTCCTTAAGTACAGAGGAAAGGTCAGTTCCAAATGGCTTTGGGTGTTGACCAACTGACAGAGCCAGCACATCCTAACCCGCTTGTCTTCACGGGATTCTGCATAACCTTGCATTCAGAACTTTGGCTGCTTGTCAGAAGATAATATAATCTTCCAATGTCACCAGCTGAAAATGTGAGAATGATCTGCTTAACTCGTGGTTTAGCAAGAATGGATAAGAGACGACTGCCTGATTCTTTGTTAAGCTGTCACCCAAACCCCATACTTTTGCTGCTCTTTGAAAAGTAGTCGGTATGCCTACTTCACACAAGATCAAACGTTCATCTCTTCCATTATTATATTTATCATTTTCCATGCCTTTCCAAATTGCTGAGGCTTTAAAATATGAAAAAAAGAAGACTGTTACCACCATGCTAACTGGAATGCATAATGAATACTAAAATTTAGAAGTTTGGAAGATAATTAGAAGTACATGTCCATGTATTCCATGCCAGCTCTGCCATTTCTAACTACAGTGTCTCCTTCTGCAGCTGCTGGCTGGGCGCTGGCCTTTTGATCACAACGACTTTGGCATATTTCTGTGCAAGCTGTTCCCCTTTTTGCAGAAGTCCTCGGTGGGGATCACCGTCCTCAATCTCTGTGCTCTCAGCGTTGACAGGTAACGTGGTTCTTTCCCTTTACTCTTTTGTCGGATTCAGAAAAGCATTTTTGTCATAAAGAATGGAAGTCAAAAAGCCTTGAGAGTTGGTGCCAGGACAGTTGTTAGTTTCAAGTGAATTAAAATATTAACAATCTTGCTGTATAGTTTAGAGTTGCTTTTCACACTTGCTGGTTATTAGCCATCTTTGGCTTAGGCAATTTGTATCTAGAGCATTTTGCCAATTATATTCATTCGGCACCCTTGTGGCAACAAAGAAATTCTAATGAAAAAGCACGGTTCTAATATCTGGCAGGAGTTGAGATTTGAACAGCCCTTTTGGAAAACTAAATCCTGCAAAAGGTTTTGCCTTTTGACCCAGTAATTACGATTTTGGGGGTTAATTTTAAGGAAACCAAAATTTGAACAGAAAATTCATCATGCACAAAGATGTCCTTTACAAAACTATTTATAAGAAAAGTTGAAAGCAGCCTTATTGCCTCACGTTAGGAAAATGGATAAGGATGTTACATATAATTTATATGTATAAACATATGAATATAAAACTCCTTGAAAGAAATATGATAAATATTAGTAGTCATGTTTAGGGAGAGCGTCACAGGTTTTTGTAATGTTCTTCTAATAGAAGAAAAAATTTCTAAGTTTATTTACTTCTATTATCTGTTACCATTTTCCCCACATACTTAATGCCATTCTATACATGATACTTTTTGATTTGCACAGTGCATTCCTTTGACCTTTACTCTATATCAACCCTATGATTTTCTCTGGCCAGACAGCTCTAAAGCACAAGCACCTGCCGGCACGTGGGCCAGAACACAGAGGCCTGGGTGAACAGAGGCAAACAGGCACATTCCGGTCCAGAGTTACTTCCATCCCTACTGTTGTCTTGACAAAAGCTCAGTCAAGATTGGGGAGATATTATTTTAAAATTAATTAAACTTTGTTCCAAAATTTAGGTATCCTGGCTAAAACCAGGATGATGCCCTGGCTGGTGTGGCTCAGAGGATTGAGTGCCGGCCTGCGAACCAAAGGGTCGCCGGTTCAACTCCCAGTCAGGACGCATGCCTGGGTTACAGGCCAGGTCCCCAGTAGGGGGCGCGGAAGAGGCAACCACACATTGATGCTTCTCTCCTTCTCTTTCTCCCTCCCTTTCCCTCTCTAAAAATAAATGAATGAAATCTTAAAAAAAAAGAAAGAAAGAACAAAAACCCGGCATGATAATGAATTGTAGGAGTTATTCAGCATTCTAAAAGAAAACCACACCTCTGAAGAAACATCTAACCAAAGCCAAAGACAAACAAGACAAGCATATGAGAAACAGGAATAAGAAATAGGAGAACGAAGACCAGGAAGATGCTTGGCTCCTATAAACAATAAAATCTCTTTTAAGGCTTACAATCCTCTGAGAAGAGAGTCATTGATGAAAAGAGAGGCCAAAAGAGAGGAACGAGTTTTGTTGGTATATGACAATTGGTATATTAATAGGCAACTTTTCATTCCTGTAAAAAATTTTATTACAAAATTAAGAGTATGGTTTATGGTGTTACATGGCACAGTACAGTGGTCCCTAATATATTTCATATAAATCTATTTAATAAACTTTTTCTTAATAAAAAAAATTTAAGGCACTTAGTCTTCAGTGATAAGCTATATAATAAAGCATCCCTACACTGAGTGGTATAATGCACAATTTAGTTCACCATAGAGACCTGAGCAAGAAGGGTGTGATGGACAGCCATGGAGAGAGAGGCCTGGCTGTGTCCTTTACGAGCTGCCCAGTGGTGCAGACACGGACTTGGGCACAAGGGAGAATGAAATACGTGATGCAGGCGTTCAGGCAGTGGGATTCCTAAAGCATCCAAAAAACCCATTCCTTCTCTAGCTTACCTTGTTCTTCCCCCTCTTTCTTCCTTGGAAGAATCTCAGAGCACCATCTGGCTAAGCTTAGTCTCCCCAATAGAAACTACCTGTGTGGGGCGGGGGTGGAGGTGTGGGTGGTGACTGGGGGAGTAGGTGGGAGGGGTAGAGAGTTATAGGTTCACCTCACCTCCATGCATGGGGAAAGATTAACTAAGTGTTCAATCACAAATGATCAATTCTGTATCAAATGAAGTGTTCTTGGTTTTAATTAAGACTGGGTCTCGGTTTTAGGTCAAGAAGATAAACCATTTTAAAATTCCACTCCCACAAAAATCTACCTTAATCAAGGAGGTTTTTCCTTGGTAATAAGCTCATCATTCTTTGTTCCCTGGGTCTTTTCTTTATTATTTTTACATTTCATTTGGTTTTGACTCTAAGCTTTGGGACCTGTGTGTAGGGAAACCATTTTGACATTTGTTTCAAAAGCTTTCACAGGGGAAAATGAATCACTCACATTTAATTCCTAAAGATAAGATACATTTGCTTTGAGTCTTCATTTTGTTGCATTGTGCTAAAAATATTAAAATCTTTATTTTTTTACTAAATCAAGGAGCAAAAACAGGGAAACTACACCCATTACAGAACAAATTACAACTTCCATGCTGTTGTTGCATGAACTGAGTTAAATTACGGCTCAGCAAGCGTTCATGATTTTTTTATATTTTTAAAATATTATACGTATCTTTCATTTCAGTTGTTTTGGGGGAAATAATGAGAGTAACTGTATATCCAAGTTCTGTACAGTTTCTTTATTATTCTGTTGATTGCTCAGTGAGCACAGATGCTGTAGGATGGAAGAAAAGCTCTATCAGCTTTCAGTCTGAAAAAGGTAAACGAGATGTTTTTGACTCCTACCCAAACTGGTAAACTTGCATTGCTCATTTCCACTCTAGACTTGTCTCAGTTTAACCGTTTCACTAATTCCTCCTCAAACCTGACTCTTATTATTTGTATTTTACATCCGTAGTCACTTAAGAAAAAGATAAAGTGGAAATTTCCACTTTAGAAAAAGTGGAAAAAGACAGGAAATTTAGAAACAAACTTTGACCCCTAATTCAGCTTTATCAGTGAAATGATTTTTAATTTATTTATTTTATTTATGGATTTTAGAGAGGAAGAAGAAGGGGAAGAGAGAGACAGAGACAGAGAGACATTGACTTTGTTGTTCCACTTATTTATTCATTGATTGTTTCTTGTCTGTGCCTTGACCGGGGATTGAACCCACAACCTTGGCACATAGGGACAATGCTCTAACCAACAGAGCTACCCAGCTAGGGTCAGTGAAATAATTTTTTAAATGCTAAGGCTGGGTCCTTCTAAAAGTATACTTCTAAAATGAATGAATTTTTCCCAACAAAACACGAATAACCCCCCATTACCAATGATCAAAACAGATACTCTCACATGCCTTGAGAAGCTTTATGTGTTCCTGAGTTTGGTGGGAGGAAAAAAGAGAGCAGGAGTGGGAGAGGATAACCAGTGCTGTTCTTTGTAGTTAATAGTTGTGTTTCAAGTGGAAGATGACAGGGGTCAGACCAGTAAAAAGGTCTGGGTACAGATGCAACTTGTAGTTAAAAGTTGCCCGGGGAAGGAGGTTGTAAAAAGATCAAACCCTTTAACAGCTACTCCGGAATGATGTATAATTACATACCCGGACAAGTTGCAAAGACCCATTAATAGGGCAACTTAGATACGCCTCAGACTCAAAAGTCAGTGTCAGCTCTTCATGCCATCATTGCAAATAACTGCTTGGTGGTCTCTATGGTATTCTCAGAGGTGTTTCCTAATTTAAGAAGCATGGAGGTGCTTTTCTGAAAACCTTCATTTGTACGTAGACACGGACGTGGTTTCTCCTCCTTCTCCTGGTGTTACCATTTTCCTCTGCTGCATGCCGGCAGTGAAGATGTGGAAGAAGTAGCCGAGCCGAGAGGGAGAGCCTAGGCCCTGGACAGAGTCAACGATGGCTGTAGGACAGCTCAGGGTCTCTCTCTGGGTTCTCTTCCCCATTGCACACAGTTACTCATTTTCTTGATCTTAACTCTGATATCGAAATTAAAAAACTGGTTAATTTTGCTAGCTCATTTTTCTTTGATAACCAACTACCCCCAAACAGCGACTTAAAACATTTTAAGTGATTTCATTATTATCTCACCAGCTGGATTTCAGCTGGCAGCTGAGCATCTCTTGGGTCCAAGGCTCACATCTGGCCTGTCGGCAAGCACAGCTGGAAGGCTGAGAGCTCAGCGAAGCCCATCTCTTTCTCTGCGTAGTCTGGGGCCCTTCAACACATTCTGTGCAGCAGGCTCCGGGCTCCAGGGGAGCCTGCTGCTCTGCTTAGGGGCAGGCCTGACACGAGCAAAGCACCACTCCAGCTCCTCCCCAGCTGCAGGGCTCAGCTGAAGAAGTGTCAAAGCGTCTGCAGCGATCTTTTAACCCACCATACCGTGTTTCTCTTTAAAATTCTCCGTGCTGGTGTTTTATCTCCAAACCTCTCTGTAGCCGTTGGTTTGTCTATCACATGAGGCATAAATCGTAAGCAAACGTGACAAATAGTCGGGTTCGCTGTTCATCAGAGATGTGCAGAGGTGAAGATGGAAGTGCTGCTTTACCTTATAAAGTAGAAAAATTGAAGGAAGAATAATAAATTCTAATGTACACAAGCATTGATAGGTGCTTGATAGAAACATTTTTTAATGTACTTCAGTTACCCTACCCACTCATACAATTTATTCTGGGAAATCATTGAAAAAGAGAAAAAACATTTGTAGGTGTGTTATCACAACCCTCAAAGACTACCAATGTGAACATAAGAGAAAGGTTTAAGTAAATTTTACCAACATCTTGTTATATTGGGTAGCCATTATATAAGGTCCCCGCCCTATATACAGTAGCAAACATCTTAATAAGTAAAACATAATTTATACTTTTATGTTGGCACATCACATGCCAGGGCACAGAGTGACATCATGGGGAAGACTCCCCGGGAACCAGCAGGCCAGAGCCCCGCTCCAGGCCCCCCAAATCCACCGGAGACCAGACAGGGGACATGGCAATACCCGTCCTCAGGCTGGAACTCGAAGAAGAGAACCACCAGCCCAAAGGTTCCTCCTGGTGATTTAATTATTTGATTCTAAAATTCTGAAAGTATTGGCCTTTTATCTATGGGCTAATTAAGAGACAGCCTGAAAAATTAGAAAATGCCTAGAATGTATTGTGTTATTGACTTTGGCCAATAAAGACAAATACACCAGTAAAGAACTACAGATGCTTAATTCAACAAAAACTTATTCAGCACCTATTTGTGTGACCGACACACAAGATGTCTACCCTGTGGAGCTTACATCCTAAAGGGAGGGGTGGGCAGAGACAATAAATAAATGGTGGAGGAGAGAAAGGGGAATGAAAGCTGACTTGCAAGTTTTGGCCCGAGGTGGTCAAGACTGGAGAGAGGGCAGGCTTGGGGACGAGGAAGAAGACAAGAGACAGTTGGGGTGAGTTTCAATGCCTGTTAGATGAATGACATTGCCTTGTGGGTTCCCCGTCCCAAGGCCAGTCCCCTGCCACCACCGTTTATCCCCCGTCCCCTCCCACACCTCCTGCCCCCTCTCTCCCTCTGGTAGGCATTACAGTGTTGTCTGTGCCTGTGAGCTTTATTTTATTTTATTTTTGCTTAATCCCTTCACTTCCTCACCTAGCCCCGCAACCACCTTCCCCTCTGACAATGGTCAGTCTGTTTTCTGTATCTATGAGTTTGTTTCTATTTTATTTGTCAGTTTATTTTGTTAATTAGATTCCACTATAAATGAAATCACACAGTATTTGTCTTTCTCTGACTGGCTTAGCAAAATACTCTCCAGGCCCATGTGTTCTGTCACAAAAAGTAAGATTGCCTTCTTTTTTATGGCCACATAGTATTCCATTGTGTAACTGTACCAGAGCTTTTTTACCTGCTCATCTACTGATGGGCACTCGGGCTGCTTCCAAATCTTGGCTATTGTAGGTAATGTTGCAATGAACATAAGGGTGCATATATTTTTTTGGAATTAGTGTTTTGGTTTCTTCGAATATCTTCCCACAAGTGGAATCACTGGGTCATGAGGCAGTTCCATTTTTAATTTTTATACATTTAAGTGCCCCTATGTTGGGTACATAAATGTTTACAAGGGTTATATCCTCTGTGGGATTGCTCCCTTTATCGTTATGTAGTGTCCTCCTTTGTCTCTTGCTACAGCCTGTTTTAAAGTCTGTTTTGTCAGATGAAAGTATTGTTACCTTAGCTTTTTTTTATTTCCATTTGCATGAAATATCTTTTTCATCCCTTTACTTTTATTTTGTGTGTTTCTTTTGTCCAGAGGTGGGGCTACTGAATTCCCACAGGCTGATGCCAGAAGTAAGGTGGCATCTGGGGTACGTGAGGAACTGAGCACAGGGATCCTGGTGGCTATCCCTTCGGCTCTCTCTCCTGAGCCACAAACCCCAGTCTCTCCTCACGTGACTGTAGTCTACCCCACCATCCCTCTGCCAGAGCCCAGTATTACTGGCTGCAAACAAGATTTTCTCTTGCTGGCCCTTTAAGAAGGCATCTGTGTCTCTAGCAGACTCTTGTCTCTCCCTGATGGACAGAATCGCTGTTGATTTTCACAACCCGCTGCTAAGTGGGCACCTCTTCCCAGCTCTGGTGCTCTGGGCTAGGGAACCTGGCTTGGGGCTGAGACCCCCATGCTTCTCAGGGGAACCTCTGCAACTAAGATGTCCCTCTGGAATCTCAGCCGCTGCCATGGGAACAGAGCCAGCCCTTTTCAAGGGTCTGTCCTTCCTACCAGTCTCATGGTGGCTTCTTCTGTAAATACTTGGTGATAAGACTTCACTCAAGCTAGTCTTCAGTTGGCTACTCGGTCGATTGCTCTATAGTTTAGTTATCATTCTAGTTTGGTCCTGCGAGGAGGTGAGTGTAAAATCCACCTACTCGGCTGACATCTTGAATCCCAATATTTCTTATTTTCCACACCTGTCCCCACCTCCATCATCAAAATTGGTTTTAATAGCTCTTACGGTTATTTTCTAATTTCATAGAGGATTTTTATTGTTGTTCAATTACAGTTGTCCCCATGTCCCCCCATGACTCTCCTCTGCCCTACCCACCCCCATCTCCCACATTCAATCCTCCTCCCCCCATTTCATAGAGATTTTACCAAGATCAGTGTGTGTGTTAATGAAGGAGCAACTACAAATAATCTACTAAACAAGACACTAAACACTGCTTCTACTTATTTCTAGATATTCAGTTTACATTGGATGATAGACATGTAATAATATGGGAACTCATGGCACATTGTAAAATGAAACTGGTCTGTGAGCACATTCATCATACAAACACGCTGACCACATTTTCTTACTGAAACTAACTTCTGTCTCCCATGCTGCCTGAGACACCTGGTTTCTCACTCCCTTAAGAGATACAGTGTTTTATTTAAATCACCTTTCCCGTAACTGACCTAAGAGGAGGGGAGAAGAAAGAGATACAACTCGCTGCCAGCCTCAGGGTGCAGACATTCCCTCTCCATTCCTTCCAGCTTTCACTGAGCATCAGGCTGCCAGGCCGATCAGGCAACAAAGAAAAGTAAACAGAAATGGAAAGCAAAACAAATAGCAGTCTTGATCCCACTGGAAATAGCCATAAATTTAAAAATGCTATCTTGGCCATACTGTAAAAGGATTTCCTTGGTCTGTTTGCATAGCTGTATTTTATTCCCTTCTGAACTAATCTGGACTTTTTTACAGATTGCATTATACACCAATCTTATTTACCCTAAAAATCTTTTGTGAAACATTTCTTCAGCAAATTGTACTGTATATATGCTATATGGCATCATTATACATACCAAAACCATAGGTTCTAATCTATAGTGAAGACAAGATAGTATAATTCCTAGAAGCTGTGTTTTCACAGATATACCTTGAAGGTGTCCTGAGACAGAACACTGCATGTAAGTGTGGGACTCATCTTGATGGACATGGGTAGCTTGTTGGAGGCCTTGGCTTTACTGACTAATCTACCACATTAAGTCACATGTCCTGTGAAGCCATGTACACCTGTCTCCAATTCCTTGGTCTGTTTTACAGCCTTTTTCTGGCACTGTCTAATGAAGCTATAAAAAGAAAATGTTTCCTTTCCATTACAACAGCAACAAAAATTTGAAGAATGAAGCCACTAAAATACCACACTACATCACAGGTCCCTTCTTAATACTAAGTCCGAAAGTAGTTAGCACCAGACTATCACATCCAATCAAAGACCACAGAGTTTCTGAAACCAAACTTTCTTTAGACTTAACATTTAAATGTGATTATCGCCACAAAAATATTAAAATAAACAAAAGGTCAACACAACTTCTTAACACCAATTTGTTTTTTAATTGACATAATTGTTTAGTCACATTTATATTCTATACTTCTATAAAAATGCATTTTTCTATTGGACTGGAAACCCTAAAGATTAGAAATCAAGGCATCGTTAAGTCATTTTTATGTACAGTAGCATTATGGGACCATGATGGGAAAGAGATAGTCATTCTTTGACATTTACCAGAAATGCTGTCCATTTGCTAAAACGGCCACCTGCTACAAGCCCACTGTGACCATGTTTTGAGGGTGGAAGAAGAGAGAGGATGATGGAGTATCTATGGCCACTATTCACTTAAGCGTATCCAGCTCTGTAGGTAAGATTTCAGGTGTTCTGAGTATATAAAGAAAACTAAGATATACCCAGAATAAGTACCAGCAGCTTTCACCACCTCTTCCATCACCCAATTTTCCCCCCGACTTAAAAAGCACAGACACACCTACCTGATGCTGCCATGTCCTACACTCCCACAAGGTTTTGCTGAATGCCAACGAAGAGCTCAGACGCAGATCTGCCAGGCAACAGATTTCCAAATGGGTGGAACTGCTAATAGCCCACCTGTTGTTCACACCAGACCTCACAGAAAGTCCCTAAAAAGCCAAGGCTTAGTCACTGGCCAAAGGAAGGAGCTCTATTGCATTTATAATTTTGTAAAATGGAAATAATTTAAAATTTCCTCACAGCCTGACTCCGTCGTCCCATTTCATTCCAGGTACAGAGCCGTTGCCTCCTGGAGTCGCGTTCAGGGGATCGGGATTCCCTTGGTCACTGCCATTGAGATCGTCTCCATCTGGATCCTCTCTTTCATCCTGGCCATCCCGGAAGCCATCGGCTTCGTCATGGTGCCCTTTGAATACAGGGGCGAGCAGCACAAAACCTGTATGCTCAATGCCACGTCGAAGTTCATGCAGGTACAAATAGCTTACAGGGGGTTCACTGGGGAGGGGGGGGCTTCATTTTAACTTGACCATCAGCAAGATTTGTTGATACCCGGACAGTGCCCGGTGTGGTGGGTCAGGCATCCTTCAGTTGCACAAAAAAAGTCGTTAACCGAGAACTTGGCTTCTGGAGTAGAACAATTAGTTTGTTTTTCCTCTTGCAGCATAATTGTAGACACGACTTTTGTTCTGTACCAAATAGCTCAGAATTCTGAAATACATTTACTGAAAAAGAGGAATGCATATGTATAAATTGCTATTAGTTTTTATAATAAGGAATAGAGCACATCCCGATAATTATTTCCTGTTACTTGGGGAAATACATGTTGTTCATACACTTTTTAAAAATAGCTTTACTAACTCAAAGTAGTAAGTCATACTTACATGTACAAATCATGTAAACTAGCAGGCCTTTTAAAAAAGTGTCCAGTTTAACAAATTCAGTTGTTGTTGTTGTTTAGTACACCTGGTCTCACTAATGTTTCTCTGAAAAGCTTAATCACATGAGTGTATTGGGAAACATTCTTAAAATGCGCATTACCTTTGCAAAACTAGTCCAAGGGGGTCTCAGGAGGAAAATCAGAGGGGTAACTATTTCTCTCAAATCAGCATAATTTAGTGCTTTGATGTAAGTTTCATGCAGCTCAGATTGCACATTTAATCACTTACAGACATCTCGAGGTATGTTTTCCTAACTTGGAAAACTTACAGAATGAGTGGTTTTCCAGCTGACCAGTTATCCTGCTTACACGTTCTTGTTTGAAAATTAAAAATATTCATGAAAGCTGCCAAACTGGCAACCTAAAAATGAAGGCCTGCTTATCTACTGACTTTTTTTACTAAGTCAAAGCTCCACGGTGGAAAACAAAATCAGTAGAAGATTGTCAGAATTTGGGCAGTGTAAATAAGCAATATAAATATTTCTGGATAAAATGTTAGAGAGAAGAAGCTTAATGCCCTGGCTGGTGTGGCTCAGCAGATTGAGTGCCAGCCTGCGAACCAAAGGGTCACTAGTTTGATTCCCAGGCAGGGAGCATGCCTGAGTTGTGGGCCAGGTCCCCAGTAGGGCTCATGCAAGAGACAACCACACATTGATGTTTCTCTCCCTCTCTCTCTCCCTCCTTTCCCCTCTGTCTAAAAATAAATAAATAAAATCTTAAATTTAAAAAAAGAAGCAGCTTACCAATCACTAGAACTGGACAAAATGAAATGAGATACTTCATAATGACTGAGTCTCCTTTATAGAGTAGACAAGCAAGGGGTGGCCACCCTTCAGACAGCGGGAATGGAGGGGGTTGCGGTGAAGGATATGAGTTTGAACGGGTGATTTTTTTTTATATATTTGGGATTCTCTTTCTCCTCCTGTTCTTTTTTCTAATTTTATCCCTTCTCTTTGTTCCACACGTTCCTCCTCAACTTTGCTCTAACAGACCAGAGGGAGGCCTCTCCATGCCCTTGCTGATGACATCGGTTCAAAGGGAATTTGTGACCCCTTGCTCTACAGGCCTCTGCCAGCAGGGGAGGGGTGGGGGCAGGGGACTGCATCCAGCCCCCGCAGGGGTCAGCTTCCAGACCCTGTGGAGCTGCTTTTGAGCCATTCACACCAGTCACCAATGCACCTGGAGGAAAATGTCACAAACTGAAGAGGGCACTCAAAGCAGTGTTTACTGTGCACTTAAACAAAAAGACAGTCCCTCTGATTTCTCCTGTTTGTTTGCTTTTTAAGTCCAGTACAGAAATGTCCCAACAGTGTGGTGTGGGTATGGAAATATTTGTATAAGCAGATCTGAATAAACCAACTCCTTTGGGAATTTGCACTTAACCTGAGGATAAAATTCAGGGGTCTGTGAACTTGAATGAAAAGAAACGACATGTGTATTTTGACTAACTCCTAACTGAAAATTTATCATTTCCTTCTATTATGAATATATGCAATGAACTGTAATCCAATAGTATTTAACAGTATCACAATTTTTTCACTAGTAGAAATAACACATTTTCATACCATATGACACTTGTATAATCTTGAAATATCATTTATGCTGATCATTGCTTCATCATTCTGACAGTTATTAGAACCACCATTAGTTATGTCATTTGATTTGTTAATAAATACATACATTATTATATCAGAATTTTATTTTAAATAATTTATACCACTTCTGTGTAACTGATTTCCATTATAACCTTACATCTTTTATTTTATGCATGTAAAAATATTATGCTCAGAAAGAATTATCTTCTTCACCAGGCTTCCAAAGAGGTCTATGGCATAAAAATAGCTCAGAACCTCTGCCCAGAACTTTTGTTCCTCGGGAACCATTTATAGGCTATTTTAATAAACACGCTATAAATGTAGTCCACTCTGCCTCTCTCTATATTCGGAAACTGTCTAGTTTTTCACAGAGCAACATGATCAGCTTTTACTGTGGGAACTGAGATATTACGGGAGGCTGCACTGTCTGTAGTAAATAAACAATCTGAAAACCAGAATAAGGAAAGAAGCATTTTCGTCCCGAGTTGATAAGTAATTTAGTGGGAAGAAGAATATAGATATAACTTTCCAATTTCCACTTTTATAGGGTATTAACTTTTCTTCTTTAATAAGACGTAAAAGTGAATAATCCTGATATTTACAAATCCTGCCCACGGGGAGATCATGCCAAACACGCTTTCCGATAAGGTCCTCTGTTTTGATAGTTTCCAGGTGGTAAGTGTTAAAAAAAGAGTGAGAAGAGGCATGATTATTAATGGCTCACACTGGCTGGCTGCGAGGTCACATTGCAGGCATTCCAGACAAAGGGTTAACTCCCAGTGACCAGAGCTACACAGATAAGCCATTCACAAGCTCCCTGTTTCCAAGCAAGATATTCTCGTTAAGTACACTTTGACCGTAACAGTCGAAAGTCAACCAGGCACTAGCAAAATGTGGAGGCTCATTAAATAAAGATAGATACGTATTCCATACATCTCAGAATCATGTTTTATGGGCTTTGGAATGGAATTCTTTTTATCGACTGGGGTTCTTCCATTTGAATAATTAAAATCAACTTCTGTTTATAAAAAGTATCTTTGCCAGGGTAACTTTTTTAATGCAGTTTATTCATGTACTATTTTATAAAGCCAGGGTAACTTCTAGAGTCTCCAGTTTAATTGAGTTTTGAGCACCACCCACAAGCTCACTCATTACCACAACCAGACAGCGAACAGAAAGATGCCAGAGCTCCCAGGGGCACTGCGCAGCTAGTTTGCATTGTAAAGCCCCCTCCCCCCCTCTCCCTTTTCTTCCTTTGCAGTTCTACCAAGATGTGAAGGACTGGTGGCTCTTCGGCTTCTATTTCTGCATGCCCCTGGTGTGCACCGCCATCTTCTACACCCTCATGACTTGTGAGATGCTAAACAGGAGGAACGGCAGCCTGAGAATCGCCCTCAGTGAACATCTTAAACAGGTAAACATAATAAGATTATGAAAATCTGGCCAAGACTCTCTGGTCCTTGACAACAAAAGGCTGCATTTTGCAGATTTAGCTTGGTATCCCAAAAATAAAGATACTGTCTTGTCTGTCTGTAGGCCTCATTGTCTTTATAGTTTCAGTATTAGGAATTTCTCTTGCGAAATAGGGAGCCTACCTGCAGGCAGGCCCAAAAAGGGAGGAAATATTCATTTATTTTGCCGAAAGTATTTGACTACATGCTTTGTATGTGTTGGCTTGGAATTGCGTCAGGACAAAAAGGAGCATATGACTCGCTCCCCTAGCAGGCTTCGCGATCGTACTGTGGAAATAGAATGCACACATGAAAACAACTGGAAAGTAGAATCACGAGGTGTGGTAAGAGTAGCCCATCCTACAGCAAGCCAAGGAGGTCGTGAGATTAAGTCACAGAGAAACTGTTCATGGATGAGAGGGACTGACTTGGTCATGGAAGATAAATGGGTTTGATGGAAAGAAGAGGACAGAGGGTATTTCAGGTGAGAAGACAGGAGTCTAATTATGACACGGCATGGGAACCACCCATTCGGGGAGTGAGAAAGGAGATGAACCTCATTAGAGCAACATCAACAACATCAAAGGTGAGGCTCTTGACGGGAAATGGGACTGGGTGTATAAGAAGAGGTCAAATTTTGGAGGGACCTAAGTTCTGAAATTAATTTGAATACAGCAGTAGGGGACTGCTGTTGGTCCCTGCAGGGGGGCAAACAGAACAGAGAAAGCTGTGAGCTTTAGAGAGCAACACTTGGGTCTTACACTTTTGCTGGCTCTGTGACATTGGGAAAATTACTAAACCCCTCTGAGCTTCTCATAAAATGTATATCATAAAACATCAAGGGGGTTGCCTAAAGGTGTCTAATAGAATCCAACTCATAATAAGTACTCAGAAAATGTTGATAGGTAGAATTCAAAGAGTAAAGCTAGGACTGTAAGTAAGTTCTAAGTCTCAACGGAGGACACCCAACCACAGCAAAAGTTAATGGGAGTCACTGATGGAACCTGTAGATCTGCCCTATGTGATTATCATACCCAGACTCATCCTTCTTCAGCGGGTCTTTGCAACTACTGGGCTTATTTTTGTGAGCTTCAGGTCCTTATCTATAAATTGGGCATAACTGCATATAAATCAATGTTATGCAATGATGGGAATCAAAGGAATTAATGTGAACATACATACTCTGTAAAAATCTAACACACCATACAGGTGGTAGCTATTACCTTCTATTGAAATGTAACAGGAAAATTATACTGAGAAACTTTAGTATAAGTTTGTTCAAGCATGAAAATTTCCAGACATAAAACATTAAGTAATTAAGACCTCTCATTTCTGCAATGGGGGTAATTAATTAGAATAGGTTTCTGAAAAACAGTGTTTTAAATGTTGTTTTTTGTATCAGCACTGTGAGTGAGCCTGTTTGAGCTGTACGTGGCATCTGCTCTGAAAAGAATTCAGTAGAGTTTGGGAGCAATAATAACATGATGCTCCTTCACATTCACCTACCATTTCTCAAGGGTTTTTTTGTTTGGTTGGTTGGTTGGGGGGTTTTTTGTCGTTATTGTTTTTGTTTTTGTTTTTGTTTTGTGGAACATGAGCAAAGACCAGCCATTCGTATGGAAAATCCACTGTTAGCTTGGGCAGGCCTGTAGAGTAGGTGGAGCAGAGCCTCAGGGAATCACCAGGGCATGGCAAACCCTGTTAGGTTGATGGAGTCTCAGATATGGCCCCCACCTGCCGGTTTTGTGGTTCTGTGGGAGGAGGGTTCAGAAAAGAAACAATGGCCTCTCAAGGCTTGGTAGAGCATCCCCACATGTGACTCCTCCAAGCATGCTGTGAGACAGTCAAGGTAGACACTATCCTTGTGCAGGTGGTTAAGAGACTGACTCAGCCAAATGGAAATTATATGCCACAACTTGGACCTCATGCAGTAGACATTCCCTGTGTCACACTCAAAGCTGTGGCTGGTCCTAAGAGCAGAAGAGCAAGCCTGGCTGGAAGGCCTTCAAGTGGGGCCGTGGGAGAGCTGGGTCAGGGTGGACGGCCCTGCCACCCTCTGACTAGTATCCCGCGGGGCTCTTGGTCTCCCTTCTTGCATGGTTTCTTGAATTTCTCCCCATTATACTGACAACAGCTTTATCAGGTAGGGATTGTGTTTGAATGCTGGTAGCAGAAAACCCAAAATAACATGAGTAGCCCAAGGAGGGTTTCCTCTTTCTGCCACAGCAAAAGGTTCGTATGCCATTCATTCAGCAGTGACGGGACCCATCAGCAGGGCCTGCTGTTCTGCTGATTTTCCATCCAGTGTTGCAAGAGAGGAGTTATGGCTCTGCCCTTACATCCGATTTCCAGGAAGAAAGAAGGGGAAGAGCGTAGATCACACAAGCGTGTGTGCACCAGAGGAGTATCTCCCACTTTCAGGCAGCTTTACAGAAACCCCACACAACGATTTCTGCTAGATCTAATTGGTCAGAACTGTGTCAGGTAGCCATGCCAACGACTGGGCCAGGTTCCTGTACTGCTGTAACAAAATCTTTTACTGCTGTAAAAGAATCTGATTGCTAGCAGGGAAAATAGGAAAATTGATTTTGGATACGCAAATAGCAGGCTGTTGTGGCAAAGTATTAATATTACCTTTTAAAAGGGTTGTCCTCTTTGAGGATATGCTTGGAGGAGGCGACCTCTCTCTCCTGATACTCTCCTTTTTCATTTTTCTGGACACACTATCTTTTATGACCACCTAAAATGATGCCCCATTCATGCAAATTGGAATCCTTTATTCCTCTTAATCATTGCTCAGTTTATGTGTTCTCTGAAGCACATTGCATCTAGCCCAATAGCTCCACAAGATTAAAGAACTCTCAGTTCTTTGAGTTAGAGTAGCAATTTGTGATAACTGCTCCAAAATCTTTTAAACAGCTCTATTAATCATGTGGGTTTGTTGCAGGCTTCCTATACTCAATGCTATATGCTTTGAGCTGAACCAGCATTACCTTTCCAAACCCTGTTTTCAATCAGTTTTATTTGGACATTAACTGATCCCAGTTACAAACAAGTTGCATTTTATGTTCCTAGTTAGGCTTCAAAATGTATGCACTATAATACTCGAGGATAATGCACACAAATGACCAGTTGCTGATAATTCCTAACCTATGGTTTTTCTGATCCTGTGCAGACTTGGAAGTATGTAAACCTTCAGCTGAAGTCAGTCCAGGGTCAGCCTGTCCCAGTCCTTCTAATCATCATTGCTGATAGTCCTTTCTCCTTGTCCCTGTGTTTGCAAACAATGTATCTTTGGGAAATATATGTCGTTAGTAAAATTTTTTAAAGCAAAAATATCCCAATGCTAGCTTTCTTCAAGATAAAAAAAATGGAGATAAAACATACTGCGGGTGCTTTTTATTTTCTGTTTCCTATTCTTGTGTTGTTTTCCAGACATCTTTGCAGCTTTGTTCATTCTTTATCATGGTGAGTTCAGTCACGCTGACTGCCATGCTGTCATTAATGCTAGTTAGCTACCTGATATTGAGGCTTTTAGCGAATGCTTTCCTTCATACTCGTACATTCTATTCACCACACACACTCTCTCTCACACACACACACACACACTTGCCCACACTCAGCCACAGTGTTGGCTCCACTCCAGCCAGTTGCCACTTCTGCCATGGAACCTCTGCCCTCGTCCCAAGAGCCACCTGAAGCCACCATCCTTCCTGGCAGCTGCTCAAAAGAATCAGGAGCAAACCCTTGACCATGAAGTTGGACTCCAAGTCTGAAAGAGGTGGAGGAGGCACTGTGAGGCGGGCCGTTCTGGTCCCTCTTTAGCTCTTCTTTCCCTGCTCTCTACTGCTTCCTTGTTGTGTTGTTGGTCTTTTAATCTAGTAGAAAAACACTGGACTTACTGTACTTTTTTCCCTCTCACTTTCCTTTAGCGTCGAGAAGTGGCAAAAACAGTTTTCTGCTTGGTCGTAATTTTTGCACTTTGCTGGTTCCCTCTTCATTTAAGCCGCATTTTGAAGAAAACTGTGTATAATGCGATGGACAAGAACCGGTGCGAATTACTGAGGTACGATCCTATGTACCCACTGGGAAATTGAAGTTCCTCTGATGTTCACAGTTACAATACTTTTACAAAACCATCTGGCCTATATTCTCATTAGCCGTGAAAATTAGAACTACCAAGCTGATTAATTTTGTTTAGCTGACATAGCCCATAACTGATCCCAACATGTGTGCGCACCATGTCTACAATCTCGGTGCTCCCTTCCTGAGGCTGTGCACAACCATCTGAGCCAGCCAAGTGGCAAGTAAATGTTCCGCAGCCCTGAAACTGCCATTTAAACTGCAACTTTACAGAAGCTCTGACTGCTACCTCCAAGAAATGGCTTCTGGGCAAGAAACGCCGCTTATTCTAGGAATAAATGCTAGTTGTTAGTTTTAAAAACATTATGTTCTAATCATTCAACTCTGTTCTCTTTTGCTCTAGTTTCTTGCTGCTCATGGATTACATCGGTATTAACTTGGCAACTATGAATTCATGTATAAACCCGATAGCTCTATATTTTGTGAGCAAGAAATTTAAAAATTGTTTTCAGGTAAGGCTGCTTTGCAAGTATTTTTAAGGACAACCAAATAAGTATATTAAGTAGCCAATAGTCAAGACTAATTCCAGTTGTAAATATTACTTTTGTCAGCTATACAGGGGTCCAGCACAAATAATGCCCCCTTTTTATTACAAAATCTTTTATTACAAAATCATAAGCATGCCATTCTGTAACATAACAATATCACACTCAAGCACACCATATGACATTTTAGGTAAAATGTTCAAATTAAAACTATAAATTAAGTCCTGGCTGGCGTAGCTCAATGGATTGAGCATGGGCTGCGAACCAAAACATCACAGGTTCGATTCCCAGTCAGGGCACATGCCTGGGTTGCAGGCCATGGCCCCCAGCAACTGCACATTGATGTTTCTCTCTCTCTCTCTCTCTCTCTTTCTCCCTCCCTTCCCTCTCTAAAAATAAATAAATAAAATCCTTAATATATATATATATATATATAAATTATTACACCCATAGTATGACCCTACCAACCACACTCAAGCATGTGTCACTTCTGCTGGACCCTGTACTTCCAGTAAAGAAGTGAAAATCATCACTTTGTTCATCAGAAAGATGGTTAAATTGTCAGCATAAAAGAAAGCAGTATCTATTCAGGCAACAACACATTCAGAGGTTAAAATTAAAAATAACTAACTTAATAACATGCCAATTTAGTATGCTCCTTTAAAAAGAAATGCTCAAATGTGAGCTCCAGGCCACACAGAGAATACATAAAAACCTATTCCTTCCTTATCTTGTTTTAGATTTTAACAGTAGTCCCACCATTTCAATAAAACATAAATTATGTGTATTGTTAAGAAACCTCTTGCTAAATACTACTTCATAGTGTATTTAATAATACCTTCTTCAAGGAAAGTAAGTGCTCATTACTCTGGAAATCTGAACTAATGTATTTGATGTTGAAATCTGTTTCCTTCTGTTCTTCAAGCCTCCTTGTAGCTAAGCCAACCCATGTCCTCCAGAAGCTCCATGCACTTCTTACTGATGTGTCATTTTTCCAGTTTCTGGAATGATTTTAGCATGGGGTTAATCCAAACTGGATCCTGCTATCTCTAGCCAGGATGTTAGTTTATGGTACGTATTAGCAAGAGTAGCGTAGAGGTCAAGGGTGCAGGCTCTGGAAGCAAACAATCTTGATTTACATCACAGCTCTGTACTTACTAACTGACAAACCCAGGTCTAGGCAGTGCCCCTCCTGCTTCCTTAGTTTGCTGGTCTGTAAAATCAGACAATCACAGTATCTTTCTCATAAGTAGGATTCAGTGGGTTAATATATGTTAAGTGCTAAGTGCTTAAAACAAAAATAAGTGCTCAGTACGAGCTTATCATTACCTGGGGATAGAGGGTACAGGAGAAACACAGTGACTTCCCCAGCTGAATTTACACCATAAAAGGAAAACAGACATATATTAACCCAGAATCACACAAAGAGATGAAACTTGGTAGTTTCATATAAGTTGGTAGGAAAACAGTACCCACCACCCAGGGCTGGAAACACCAGGTGAGGTGCACGACTCAGACAGCCACCACACCAGTGGTGCACAGTGAGGAAATGCCAGGCCTCACCTAGCCCCCGACTCGTGCCCACCCCAAGTCATAGAACACTCTCCCTCCGGCCAAAACTGCTCCTCTTCCTCTGTGACTTGGTGAAGAGAGTTAAACAAGAAACAAGGGACCTATTTCCCTACAGTACAATAGACAGTTCAGCTTCCACCATGAGAGTACAGACTCCACACACCTGGTTACCATTAAGGCTCACATTCTGTCCTCAAATGTTTGTGGACATTTACCCCTTGTTGGTGGGGGCCCGGGGCATCTGCATTACACCAGAAACAGGCTGGTAGACTCACGTCAGTTTGCCTCTGTTCCTTCTCCCAGTCTTGCCTCTGCTGCTGCTGTCACCAGTCCAAAAGCCTGATGACCTCAGTCCCCATGAATGGAACTAGCATCCAGTGGAAGAACCACGAACAGAACAACCACAACACAGAGAGGAGCAGCCACAAGGACAGCGTAAACTAAACATCTTCAGAACCACTGATCAATATTCCTCCGAATCCTGTTGGAGAAAAAAAAAATCACACAGCAACTATGTCTCCAGAAGTCTCTTCTCACGTGGCTCAGTCCCACCCCTGGAAAATGCTTTCCAAAGCATCAGAGAGTGGATTGGTTTATACCCACAAACTCACTGAATCTGACTTCTTTGATTTATCTTATTCACATATTCTGCCTGTTATATTCAGCACTAAAAAATGGTGAGGGTTGGCAGGAGAAAGGGAGAGTATCCAATGAAACCAGAAGGATATTTACTACTTTTGCATGAAAATAGTTTTCAAGTGCATGACTAGCTTTCACGGCCGTTCTGTCCAACGCTCAGTGGGAACCGGTCACCATGAAAGTTTGGAGATGATGAAATAGAGACATTTTTTAAGTGTTTTGTTTTGTTGCCAAACACAGTATGGACTTAAGTCACCTTTATTTGAGATATTATTCTGTGCCAGTATTTTTAAGCTCATAATAATTTAAAAATAATTATTTGAGCCTATTTATACATATTTTGCAAAAAAAAAAAAGCAAGTAAAACAGAATTTAGGTGAACAATTAGGTTAATATTTCTCATGTCACTGTTTTTTTTCTCAACATACATTCTCAAGCTGCGACAAATGCAGGTACTAAAGCACAAACTGGTGACCACACGGGGCAGTTCAATTGCTGCTATTCGAAGGATTTTTAATAACTTACTTTTTTAGTGGTTTTTCAGTACAGGAGATCCTGAACATAGTTTTATGTTAACTTTTAGAAGTAATGCTCCAGTCAAATAGTTCTATTTTTCATAAGCCAAATCATTTTTATGTCCTTTTGGTAAAATCAATAACACACCAAAATATAAGTGTGCATGTCATTGAACTACAGCCAAGACTTTCAGTGCGATGCATGAAGTCTAAAGTACACCTAGCAGACAAGGACTGAATATTTTTAGAAGATTTGGAAATTTTCATTGAGGGTTTTTTGTAATAGTAACATGTATATATATGTATATACATATCTATGTACATATATACACGTGTGTATATACACATATACATATATATAGTATACATATCACCTCATATTCCTTTGATTTGTCTTAAATGCTAACTGGCAGTAAGACTTTTTGGGCCATTCCACTGTCCATATAGGAAACGTACTTTCCAAGTGGCTGAGTTGATCACGTCACTGAAACGTAAGTGCCCCAAAGGCCATCACGAGCTCCTCGCTTCTCCGGGCTTCCAGCGTGAACTGCGACCCCTCCCCCACTCCCACTCCTCACACGGTCACCATTTCAAAGGGCCCGCAGTGACTTCTGCCGGGCATTTCCCAGGATGTTTACAGACTGTGAGTATAGCAGAAAATCTTTTACTGTGTGTACATAAATATATATATATATACAACTATACATTTCTTTTAGCCAGTTGTTCTGTTACTATCTCTGTGGAGTGTATTCATGTGTGTGATATATGCATGTGTGCAATGGGATGTGTGGACTCCTGTAATCTAACAACAGTGCCCTGCCCTGGTGCCACAGCGCATGCTCTGAGTGGCGTCCAGGTGGTCGTTCATCATGACGATCAGCCTCAGCCGGTTTCAGTCTGTGTGTTCGTAAATCTTGTGACTACGTCACCCTCACAAATGGAATACAGGAGGCAGCAGGAGAGGGGACAAGCCATCGGTTAACAGTAGGGTTTTGTTGGTTGGTTGGTTTGATAAAACGGTATTTGGGGTTGTATATGTTCCTGTGCTAGAGCAAAAGTCATTAAACTTGAAGTACTGTCCTAACCCTCAATCCAGCCTGGTGATGAGGGCGTCAGGTGGTCAGCTGTTCAGAGCAGACTTCACCAAACACATTACCGATGACGAACTAGCTAAGAATTTGCAGGGCTGCATTCTGGCACAGTCATGCACAGAATGTCACCATCAGCTTCCAGTGGGTCCAGTCGCAGGGCTCCTTATGCGTAAGCAGTCAGTTCCATCACTCCGCTGGCGCATCACATGCAGTGAGTGCTACGTGCACTCATAGGTTCACACTGTTTTGTTAACACAATTGTCTTTTTGTTTAAGATGCTTTGTCTCTTGCCTACGGAGAATGCATTTTATAAGTTCAGAAAGTCATAGATTTCTGAATAACCACACAGGCTTCAATGTACATTTTGTTTATGGACTGGTAAGTAATCATGGTTTACTAGTAGGAATATTTCTGATTTCTACTTTTATCACATCTTTCCAAGTAAATCTGTAGAAATGAGCCAAAAGCCAAGGCCCTGCATTGGCAGTGGCCTGAAAGTATAAAATAAAGTTTACAGAAAACTTGCAAGTGCCTCTTCATTTTTATCTAGTTCTTCAGAGAAAATGCTTGTTACACAATGCCTATCGTAAACTTCTCCCTAGTAATAGCCGGGCAAGGAATTTTACTTTCAAATAGATACTTCCTTACTGTGCTGTATTCTCAACCTACAGGTTGTGCTGAATGCATAACTCTCTCATTCATTTCCTCATTCACCTTTCCAGGACATTTTACTGAGCGTCTACTATGCCCCAGGAATTCTTCTAGGTACTAGAGATATAGCAGTGAACAAAGCAGGCAAAGCTCCTGTTCAGATAGAGCTTGAATTCTAGAGGAAGGAGTTAAACAGTAAACGACGACAGCCCATAAACAGTACGTCAGACGGATATGAGGAATAAACTCATATGTATCCAACTACTTATTTAACATCTCCAACTGGATGACCAACAGATCTAAAACTAAGCTCCTGGTGTCCCGCTAACCTGTGCCACCATCATATCCCTCTGCTCGTGTATCAGTCAGGTGCTCCAGAGACACGGAGCCACTCTGTGTAAGAGAAGATTTATTATGGGAATTGGCTCATGTGACTGAGGAGGCCAAAATATGCTATCATCTGCTGTCTACAAGCTCGAGAACAAGGAAAGCCAAGCCCAATTCAGCCCAAGTCCAAGGCCTGAAAACTAGGGAAGCCGATGGTGTATCCCAGTTTGAGGGCAAAAGCCCGAGAGCGGTGGGGTAGCCCGCAGGTGTAAGTCCCAGAGCCCAAAGGCTGAGAACGGGGATTGCTGATGTCCCCGGAGAAAATGAGCATCCCAGCCCAAGAAGAGACAGAGCGTTCATCCATCCTCTACGTTCTCTTTTTCCCCTTCTGGCTGTCTGCAGACGGCTCAGGCCAGCCCACATCGGTGGGAGCTCACCGGCTTTACTGGGTCTCCCGATTCAAATACCCGTCTCTCCGGGAAACATCCTGCAGTAACACCCAGAAGTAATGTCATACCCGCTCACTGGGCGTCCCTTAGCCCGGTCCAGCTGACACATAAAATTAACCATCAAGGCTCAGTGAAAGACAGCTCCAGCCTTTGCGTTGTCAGGAGAGATCCTTGAAGCCGTTCCCATCCCCTCCTCTCACCCCTTCTACCCAACGCCTCCATCAACCCGGTCTGCCCATCTGCGGAACAGGCTCAGGACCTAACCACTTCTGCCCGCTACCCCCACCACCCGGCCTGCGCCACCACCGCTTCTGGTCAGTACTGCAGTAGCTCCTGTCATGCCTACTGTGTCCAGCCTGGCAAACACCACACTCCCGCTGGGGCCTGTCTCTCATAAGCCATAACTGGTCTGAAGGTGTTCACATTTCCAAGGTAGGCTGACCAACACCCCTTGGGGATTTTTCTAAAAACAGCTAAAGTAAGACAGGGCCCTTTCACATTGCGGTAAGTGTAGGAGGTCGTGAGCCTGGGAGCTGCGGCCACCGTTTGGGCCACAGGAGGAAAGTCCGCGCAGATTGTTAGGAAGCTGAAAAAGAGCGTTCAGGCTCCAGTTCCCCTTGATGCTCGGCCAGGGCTTGAGTAAGCAAACGAACGCATTGACCTTTGCGCCTGTGCTGGTTTTCAGTTTTCTTAAACGTACCATGTGCTAAGGCCACCTCATCTAAGTTATTTACCGTTTGTTGTGGTTGTTTAGAGAATGGGTTTTATGTTCCTTAGAGTACTTTCAGGCTTACAGAAAAATTGAATGGGAAGTACAGAAAGTTTCCGCATGCTCCTTCTCCTCCTTCCCTGCGCACAGTCCCCCCTATCATTTCCCTCCTGGATCAGTGTGGTAGCTATTACTAACTCAAGTCTATACTTACATTAGGATTCACTCCTTGTGTTGCACACTGTATGCATTTTGACGAAGAGACAGTGGCCCCTATCCACCCCCATGTGTCAATCAGAACAGTTTCACTGCCCTAACAATCCCCTGTCCCACCTTTTCTTCCCTCCCTTCCTCTCCCACTTGATTTATCTTTCCACTCCATGCAGATACAGTGAACACCCACCATACTAAACTGTCTTACTTGCTGGGAACACAAGCATAACCAAACAAATGCAGGGAAGTACTTGGGAAGTACTTAGTAGTGACTCAGTAGGTGTCAGCATAGGAGACAGTAAAGGTGGGAGTGGTCAGCTGGCAACCTCAGTGCACACAGTGGGAGGGCTCTTGCTTCGACAATTCCTACTGTAGTGAGCATAAATAAGTCACTGCTAGAAGAATGGCATAATGAAAGTCAACATCGTATTGGCTCTATAGCACAGGTGGCAAACACAAGGCCCACGGGCCGAATCCGGCCCTCCATCTTGTTTTATCTGCCTGGCACCTTGTTCCTGCCCGGCAGCCGAGCTGAGCTCTCATTAACTGTTAAGCAGTAGTTACATTTATGTAGTCCTAAAATTATATTTGGCCCTTTGAAGGCAACCATGAGGCTGATGCGGCGCCCAGTGAAAATGAGTTTGACACCCCTGCTCTGTAGGATGAACTAGTTAAGTCAGTGAGTGCATATTATTCCCCATCCAAAAATAAAGCTATCCAGTATTTTTTTTAATTAAGGGAATTAAACAAATTAGAGATTAAGTCCAGGAAACAGCCAAGACAAATGGGAATCTTTCACTAGTCTGTTAGCTCCTTTGGTATTTTAGCAGCACGCCCACTAGTCCGCGACAGAGTATTGAGCACTACGTATGTGTGGAGTGAGTCAAGTGCACTGCCGGTCCTTGCCAGCCTCCCCAGGCCTGAAATCCCGAGTCCACAATCCCTTTCTTTATAGCACAGCTTTGTATAGCACTGTATCTATTGATTTTTCTCCATGTTTCAAGCAAGCAAAGTTAAATCAGGGCACAAGTCCACAATAGGCAATTGATTATTTCTGACCTTCCAGTGGGATCTTTACATTTTTTAAGTGTTTTTTAACTACTCCTACATTTGTAGAAGCTTCTGCCACACTTTCCTCTGAGCGGTAACAAAGACAAACCAGTGTTTATATTTGGTCAGTGCCAATACTCTCGCTTTTTTTTTTGTTTGTTTCTATAAAAGTGAAAGCAGACAGGAACTGTTCTTAGATTCAGGGAATAAGAAAGAACTGAAAATAACATGGTAGCTGCAAAGCAAGGCTTGTTGCCCCAAGAAGCTTGCTAGCAGAGTTCACTTTCCGTGTGAGGAAGCCAGAAGTCCTACTATCTCTTGGTTTCCCAAGCTTTTATCATCAATGTTATCAGTAGATTCTGTGTCTCCTCCTGGGAGGTAATAAATTAGGAACAGCAATGCCAAACCTAGATATAATCAAAAGAGTCACAGAATCTTCCTGCGGGAATATCGAGAATTCCACAAATTCTTCCTTTGTGGTACTAAACCACAGTCCTCTTACCTAATATATCTATGTCAAACAGATCAGATTTTATTTGATTTGGTTCACAGATGCAGGTGCACCTTGGGCGCTGTGACAGCTCTGTCCCAGACGGGAGGGAGCCCTGGGCCCCGCCCCAACTGTAGTATCGCGTGACCAGCCAAATCCCAGGCCCCGGGCCCCTGCAGAGCACAGGCCTCACTCGCTCCACATATTCCATGTTTTTACAGAAAAAAAAGCCATTTCTCCATGAACTATAGCTCTCTGTTTTTCTCAAACTGTGGTAATTGGTATTAAATGCCGTTAAATTCTTGTGATTTTCAAAAATACTAAAATGAGAAAATCTGCTAAGTGGGCCCAGGTAAAGGGAACATATGTGCCCTTTTAGGCTTCGCAGGCATATGCTTGTGCATGACGGGAAACTGCCCTCACCTCCTCTGCCCAGTCCGTCCTCTGCCCAGTCCTTCCTCCGAGTTATGAAGCCTGATGGGGTATAGGCCTGGGTCACTGCTCCTCACTCTCAGTCAAGACCCTTTGGGAAGGGATGGGATTCAGCCGACCAGCTCAGCCCAAGCAGGGCCGACTCCTGGAGCTGGAGTGGGGGAGCGGGGCAGGGATGGAAGGGCTTGACTTCCCCAAGGAAAGCCCGTGTGGCCCTACAAAGGGGAAGCAGGGACAGCCACACCACTTCCTTGCTTCACCCTTAAGGATATTGTCATACATACATCCTGCT